AAAAAAAAAAAAAAAAAAAAAAAAAAAAAAAAAAAAAAAAGTAATTTGTGACTGCTAAAACATTACTAAACTGTTGAAAACCAATGGACTGAGGAAATTACAGGTAAAATGAGAAATGGCACAAATCAACAGGAAAAAGTAATTCTGGATCCACATGTTAAAATTTAAAGTAATAGCTGGGCGTGGTGGCGCATGTTTGTAATCCCAGCACTTGGGAGGCAGAGGCAGGAGGATCACCATGAATTCAAGGCCAGCCTGGAATACATAGTGAGTTCAGGACTAGTATGGACTACAAAAGGAGAGCTTGTCTCAAAAAAACAAAACAAAAAAATTAGAATTCAGTAAAATCATGGCCAATAATCAATACATATTTGTAGACTAAAGCTTAGTTAATAATTGCTTTTTGGAGCTCATTAGCATGAAATACCAGTTGGTTCTTCCTGTAGTCCCTGTCTATAGTACTATTGCCTTTAGCTCTTAGGTCATTTAGAATGGTGATTTCACAACCTTTAGTTTTTGGTGCTACTGGAGAATGAACCACTGGTTTTCTGATTGCCACTACTTTAACCTTTATTTGTACCCTCCAGTGCCCTAATCTTTATTTAAAGTTAATTATCAACTTCTTAAGCAAAAAGGCCAATATTCATCTTCTTTTGGGTGGGTGGGGTCAATTCTTTGTTAGTGATACCTATACATTGCCAATAATACTAAATGATGAAATATACGGAACTCACTATTCTTAAAATGTCCCTGTTTAGCCAGATCAAAGAAATACATTAAAACAATGGTTCTCAGGGTTTCTACATGTGGCCTGTGGACTTCTGAGAATCTTTCAGGGGGTCCATGAGGTCATAACTATTTTCATAATATTACTACTTGCCCACTGGGTTGGCATGTACTCTCCCCACCACCAGAGATTGAACTCAGGACCATGTGTTTGCAAGGCAGGCTAGACACCACTAAGCTAAGTCTCTGGGCCAGCACGCATGTCTATTGATAGTGCAAAAGCAAGAGTGGGTCAAACTGTGTAGCCTCAAAGCAGATGAAAAGAATGGTATCAAAGTGTACTAGGAGATCGGGGGTAAAAGAGCCAATTTTACTTATGATGGTCTTTGATAAATGAGTAAAAATTACTGATTAAATCTCAACACTGAGTACATGGCTGAAAAATTCTGTAATAAAGAAGTATACCTAAAGACTGTGCTACATACTATACCAAAGTACAATGCTGTTGGAGGAAAAAGCACTTATGGCATTAAGTGTACGCTGAATTACCAGATTTTCTCATAGAACAGTATTTTCATTCAAAAGAATGACTAATACATTATTCTTCACACATAGCTATTTGGAAGACATTTTCCTGAAAATTAACAAAAGGAGCCTGTTGTGAGGAAAAACAATTAACAGTTTTTGCACTCAATGACAAAATATAAGCATTAAAATGAAAATGAAAATTTTGGCAAACTTCTCTGCAACCTTCAGTTTGATACCTTCTCAATGCAGACAGAGTCTTTTGATAAGATCAGTGGTGATATAAATTCAAAAATGTGTGAACATATGGAAGATCGGCATAATTCCATGAGCCAGTATTTTCCAAATAACTAAGGCATGTTTTTAAATCATGCATGGAGATCCATATAAAGCACAAAGTGAGCCATAGGTTTTATTTATTGGTTGGTTGGTTTTTGAAACAGGCACTGTGTAGTCAGAATGGCTTCAAACTCACCATGTCTCAACCTCCCAAGTGGGGCAATTACAGGTGTTATATCACTGCCTCTACCCAGCTTATGCTTTTACTGGGGACTGATCCCCAGGGCCTCTGCATTGAAACACCTCCCCAGCCATGCATCTTTTCTTTTGAGACAGGGTCTTGCTAAGCCTCTAAATTGCCCAGGCTGTGCTCCAACTTGCAATCCCCCTGCCTCCCACAATACTGGGATTATAAGCATACACCATCATGCCCACCTTGGGCTATAATTTTTAAGAGGGCAAAAGGAGTTCTGAGTCTAAAATGTCCCCCAAAGCACCTCATTAACTACATAAGTATTTCAGCTTAAAATATGTGTCTGGCTAAATTGTTTGAAGCACAGTATTAAAAAAAATTAGAATCTGAATTTTTACTGTATTGAAGATTAAGTAGAAAATTCTTGGGCTGTTGATACAGTTCAGTGGTGGAGTGTTTGCACAGCAAGGGCAAGGCCCTGGGTTCAACCTCAGTACTGGTAAATGAATGAGTAAGCAAATTCTTATGGTATTCACTTGCTAAATTTCTGTTGGTCAAGGCAAGGTAGCACGTGGCTGTAATCCTGGTTACTGGGCAGGCTGAGGCAGGAAGACTGCTGCCAAGTTTGAGATCAGCTTGGGCTATACTGTCAGTCCAGAGCTGCCTGAACTACAAAGTGCAACTATCTCATAAAATCTAAAAATATTTACACGATACTTCACAGAACACTTCCCTCGATAGGCTCAGCATCATCTCTCGGGGATCTGCTGTGCTTTACCTGTCACTGTATCAGGTGCATCAGTGTTGCTGCCACACTGAATGAGTCTGGCTGCAAAGCTGTTTTCATCAAACGAAGTCCCATTTACCACAGGGAGGTCTTCAAACGGGTTTACAGACTGGTCTGAAGTCACTGTGATGTACTGTACCGCAAGCCACAGAGCTGTGCTGCCCTCATGATCTTTCAGTTCTAAATCTAATCTGAAATAAAGGAGCAACGTGAACAGCAAATAAAATCTTCTGACACTGTACTGCTAATAACCTCACTTTTTTTCTCTACACTTTTTGAATTTAATTTTAATTTTACTTATTAAGATTTGTAACACGAAAAGATGTTTTAAAAGAATTTTTCACTCACAATCCCACCCTTACAACTGCTTTTTCATTTCTCCATGTCGCCCTACGTACTGTTTACACTGCAGCAGCTGATTAAATACATATTCGTTCCTGGCCATAATGGACAAGTGTAAAGGTGTCCTGCAGGATAAAAAGAAGAGGCATCAATTCAGGACTACTCACAGCAGGAGATGACAAGAATCATAGGTAAAATCACCATTCACAAGAAACTCCACATTTCCACAACAGTTTTCTAACACCATGACTAAGAATCAAAACGGGAATAGATAGTGTGGTTTGTATCTAGATATCCCCTCAAAGCCTCAGGGTCTCAGAAGCAAGGCTTCTGGAAGTTGAGTGGAATATGGAGGTTTCCAGCTGACTTGCACTTTGGAAGTGGGGTCTCATCAGAAGAGACAGGTCATGGGGGCGTGGCCTGAAAGGGTGTGCTTTCTTTTTCAGCTCCTGCCTTGACTCTGCCTTCTGGCCATGAGCAGCTCTTCTCCACCATGCCGTTTTGCCTGCCATCCTGCCCTGGAGCCAGCTGACTATGGAATGAAACATGAGTCAAAATAAACTTCTCCTCCCTTCAGTTGTGGATACTGAGTATTTTGTCCCATCTACCAGGAAAGTAACTAAGACATCAGATGTGCTTATATGTTACCATTTTTTTTAACTAACAAGAAGGACCAGAATCAATAAAAGGAAGAAGTATAAAATACTCCCCAATTCATCTTTACTAAATGTGCATAGGTTGCTCTTGTTTAAAAATACTTTCTATCATAGGTGTGCATATTTTCCTTTACCTACCCTATACCAATTCTGAAAAAATTTTTTCCTTCCCCATAATTTTCTATGATATGATAGTAAAAAATAGAGGAGCAATGGGTGAAAATGACTAAAGGGACAGTTAACCCTCCTCACCACTTTTATTTAGCTCAAGTGCTCTGAAGATTGCCACTGCAGAGCACAGAGCCAAGGGTGGCATCTATCTCATGATCAGACTGCCAGAATTTACTGTAGCAGAATGAAAAAAAAAAAAAAAATCCAAGAATCTACAAAGAGAATAAAGATGTAATTATTTGGGGGAATAAGGTTAATTATTACATGATACTGGGATTCACGAATATCCATCTTATTACAGTACTTTATCACACAAATTCATTTTCCTATTCTAACAACCAAACAACAGAATTTTTTTTTCTCTTAACATGTTTTTGCCTATCTTTTTTTTTTTCCTCTTAAATTGTTTTATTGGTACATTTTAGGTATACATTTACATTCATTATTGGGAACTTGTACCTTTACATGTTGTATCTTGGTTTTTATTTTTTCCCCATTCCCCTGCTCTCCCTTCAACCCCCTACCCTATTTGCAAAAGCTTTGTTTCCATTTCTCATCTCAGATTTTTTCCTTTCCTTTCATTGCTTTCCCCTACCCCTCCCACTTTCCCTACCCCTTCGGACCTTTTCTTCTTATTTGACATCATCAGTTATTCATTTTAATCTTTATTTACACTTTCAGTTTCTCACGTCAGAGAAACTATTGAGTATTTACAAGTGTGTCCTCTTTATTTCACTTAAGAGTAGTATCACCTCAATGTGCATCCATTTAGCTATAAATGTCTGTAATTTCTCATTCTTTATGGCTGAGTAGCACTCCATTTTATAAAAAACTACATTTTCTTTATCCAGTCTTGTTGATGGGCAATTGGGCTGTTTCCAAGCTATTACAAACTGTGCCACTATAAACATGGGTGCACATATATCACTGTGATATGATTCTTTTAATTCTTTGGGAAGATACCCGGCAGAGGGATAGCTGGGTCAAATGGGACCTCTAATCCTAGTTTTTTGAGATATTTCCATATTGATTTCCATAGTGGTTGCACCAGTCTGCATTCCTACCAACAACGGAGAAGGGTTCCTTTCTCCCCCACAAACCCTCCAGCATTTGCTATTGGTTGATTTCTTGATAGCAGCCATTCTTTCTGGGGTGAGGTAGAATCTCAGTGTTGTTTTCATCTGCATGTCTCGAATGACCAGTGATGTGGAACATTTTTTCATATATTTATTTGCTGCTTTTACATCTTTGTCTAAGAAATGTCTGTTCATTTCAGATGCCCATTTTTGAATCTGGTCTTTATATTTGGGGGGAGGGTCTGATTTTTTTTAGTTCTTTATAAATTCTAGATAATAGACCTTTCTCTGACGAACAGCTGGCAAAAAATTTTTTCCCACACTGTAGGCTGTCTCTTAGCTCTGTTGGTGGTTTCTCTTTAAGTGCAGCTTTTTAATAAGATGAGATCCCAATTGTTGATTCTTTGTGCTACTTCTCTTGTCTAATTGCTGTGGCTATTGTTTCAAGAACTATATTGAATAGGAGTGGTGATAGTGGGCATCCTTGTCTTGTTCCTGATTTTAGTGTGAAAGTTTTCAGTTTTTGACCATTTATTATGATGTTGGCTGTTGGTTTTTCATAGGTAGCCTTAATCAGGTTGAGATAAAGATAAAGACAATCCCAATTTTCTGTAGGGTTTTTATCATGAATGGGTGCTGGATTTTGGTGAATGCTTTTTTTGTATCTATTGGGATGATCACATGGTTTTTGTCCTTGTCTCTGTTAATACTGTGTATAACATTTATTGATTTACATATGCTAAACCTTGTTTTTGTTTTTGAGACAGGTTCTTGTTACGTAGCCCATGCTGGCCTAGAGCTTCCTAGAGCTCCTGCCTCACATTCTGGAGTGCTGGAGTTATAGGCATGTGCCACCATGGCCAGCCTTCTTTTCTTTCTGAGAGTTTCTAAAGATATGAAACACTGAGTAGCTAAGTGCGCCCCACAGGTGGCTGGTGATGCAGATGGTTCAAGTGGCCTTTAGGACTTCCCTAAAGAAGGCAGCTCTTTCTGAGATTCTAGACCACATGGAAACTCAACTAAATCCTAGGAGGGGGCAAAAAGAACATAAATACTACAGAATATGTGAAGGGCTATGTAACAGAAGGTTGCAAGCTGCACAAAGAGTTGTCTCAAGTAGAGGTATATATAACTGGGTTTAAAATAGGGAACTTTTTCACAAATAGACCTCACAGATATGCTGAAGAAGACCATACTAGAAGAGTTGACAAGATGACCACTCTGGTTCCATCCATCATGAAGACAGATTACTCAGAAATTCAAAGTCTTCAGTTTGCCAGGACATAACACTTACTTGCATGGCACATAAATGTTTGTGACTTCAATGAATATCAGAATGAATAATCAAATATCCTGTATGCCAAATATGTGTCACTATGAAATACCCTTCTCAGCTCAGAGGTGAAGCACACAGTCTCTCAGCTCCCCAACTTACCTGCCCTTGTTGTCCTGCATGTTGGGGTTTGCACCAGCCTGCAGAAGGGCCTCTGCAATCTGTGCCATCTCAGACATCGTCTCTGATGGGTGTTTCTTTGAACTATACAATGCCACAAGGTGTAATGGTGTCTCCTGTGCCCCTAATGTAGCAGCATTGACAAGGGCCCCATTCTTAATAAGGAAAGTAGAAGCGAAGACATCTCCTTGAAGAGAAATAACAACACACAGTAACATATGACAGCAGCCAGAACAAGGCATTCTGGCTCTCCTTAAGAGGCAGTGGCTGATAACGTACAAATAAAGAAGAAAGGGGGCCAGGATTTAGCTCAGTGGTGCCACCACCTGCCTCAAAAGCACAAGGTCCTGAGTTCATAAACAAAAAAAAAAAAAAAACAAAACAAAAAACAAAGAGTCAAGGTCCCAAGTTTAATCTTCAATACCAAAAAAGAAGAAAAACTGGGTGTGTCTGATGGAATTTCCTGGGACACTTGTAAGTGGAAATTTATCACTGAGATCATGGAGATACAGATTCCAATTCAAAAGGTTCTCTGTCCAAGTTTTTTGTTTTGTTTTGTTTTGTTTTGTTTTTTTTGGTACCAGGGATTGAACTTGGGTCCTTGCGCTTGCAAGGCAGGCCACCAAACCATTAAGCTAAATCCCTGGCCTCCAAGTTTTGATTATTGGTGATCATCTCTCCTTCCTCCTCACCTCAATATCCCTTCACTGTTCAAGAATATGAGGATTCCAGGTTGGATGAGGTGGTGCATGCCTGTAATCCCAGTTACCCCAGGGGGCTGAGGGAAAGAATGACAAATCTAAGGCCAGGCTATATAACTTAATGAGATCCTGTCTCGAAATAAAAAGGGCTAAAGCATTCCCTGGGTTCAATCCCTAGTACTGGGGAGAGAGGTGTCTTTTACCCTTCAAAGGCATCATTTAGTCATCTAAAAAAGGGCTTCCATAGCTGGGCGTGGTGGCGCATGCCTGTAATCCCAGCACTCAGGAGGCTGAGGCAGGAGGATCCCTGTGAGTTTGAGACCAGCCTGGGCTACCTAGTGAGTTCCAGGTCAGTCTCAACTACATAATGAGACCCTGTCTCAAAAAAACAAAAGTGGGGGGTCTTCCAAGATTCTCCCCAGCACAATTTCTCTCTTTCACTCACTATTTTTCTCCTGTTTCCTGACCACAAGAGAAGGGATTCTCTGTGAACCTGTCCCTCACCTTAACATTTGGAGTGGTTAGGTATAAGAGTCTACCTAAGGCTATCTGCATATCCAAATTAAGACTGAATAACTTACATAAAATCATTTAACAGTTTAATTTACCATCTTTGATTCATTTCTCTGTATGATAAAAAAAAACTACCCTGAAATGTTGACAAAATAACAAGAATTAAGTTTATTTAAAGATGTTAAAAGTATGCAATGGTGAAAATATCGTTAAAGAAAAGATGCCTCTAGATTGGTCAGACCCACAAATACATGGTTGAGTTCAGAACTCAGTAATCCGATGAGTACCAATTTAATATTAAAAATACTTGTGTAGGGCTGGGGATTTAGCTCAGCGGTTCAGTGGCCTGCCCTGCAAGCGCAAGGACCCGAGTTCGATCCCCAGTACCAAAAAAAAAAACGTGTACAAAAACTGGGTAAAATATACTTGTCAAGTTAATTTTGAGGATAACAAAGATGAATTAAATTTGCTCTAAGATTCAAGTTCAACCTTCCTTGGATTTATTTCTATTTACAGTTTAAAATATAAAAAACACTAGCTATACATAAAGTGATGCTTTGTTAAGAAAATAAGAAAAGAATACACAATATCAAAGATAATGAACAGAGAAAGCATCTAGTGACAAATATTCTGAGCTATTCTACTTGGACTATTGTGCCCAGTAGTCTCTAGGTAACACTAATTATTCCCATACAGAAAGAAGATAGGGATAAGAAAGGCAGGCAAATACTAATCTCTACCTGTGTATTATGTACCCATTGGTATCTTCTATAGGCCCTGGGGAGATGTTTGAGAACATTATTAACACTTTCTCCTAAAATGTTATTGCTCTGCTCCCATTTTTAAATGAAAATATGTTTATACAGTACACCATACACACAGGAGACAAACTGGGTAATGCCGCACATAGAAAGGATACAGTCACAGGGGAAAAAACTCTAAATATCTAAATTTAGACAGATGGTATAATAAACATTGTACGCCTTCTTAAAAGACAAATTTTTAGATCAGATTTCATTAGTAAATCCAAAAATTAAGTTTTCTTACTCATATTACATACATATCACACAAAAATGCTATTTGCAAATTACTAGAAATTGAAAATTATTAAAGTGGGAATGGTGGCACATGCATATAATTCCAGTTTAGGAAGTTGAGGCAGAAGGATCAAAAGTTTGAGGTCAGTACTGGCAACTCAGTAAATCTCTGTTTCAAAATTAAAAAGGGAAGGAAGGGAGGAAGGGATGAAAGGAGAAGGGGAGAGAAGGAGAGGGGAGGGGAGGGGGAGAAGAGGCAAAAGAGAAAAAAGAAATGGAACATTGTTGATGTTACACATGAAAGCAAATCAGTCAAAGGTAAAAAGCTAGAGGAAAGAGACAACCAACATCAAAATGCAGAACTGGCCGGGCATGGTGGCGCACGCCTGTAATCCCAGCACGTGAGAAGCTGAGGCAGGAGAATCACTGCAAGTTCGAGACTGGACTGGGCTACATACTGAGTTTCCAAGTCAGTCTCAACTATATAGTGAGACCGTCTCAAAAAGAAACAAAAACAAAAAACTGCAGAACTGGGCCTGGGATTTAGCTCAGTGGTTCTGCCACCTGCCTCGCAAGCTCAAGGTCCTGAGTTTGATCCCTGGTACCCACCCCCTCCCCCCAAAAAAACTGCAGAACTAAGAAAGGGAATAGATTTCTTAATTCATGGGAGACTGATTTATCTTTTATTTTTGGTACTGGGGATTGAACTTGGGTCCTTTCGCTTGCAAGGCAGGCGGCAGAACCGCTGAGCTAAATACTACTCAACCATAAAGAATGAGAAATTAGATTCATTCATAGGAAAATGGATACATTTTGAGAATATACTCCTAAGTGAAATAAATAAGTCACACATGTGTAAATACCGAATAGTTTCTCTGGTGTGAAAAACTGTAATAGTACACAAGATCCTAATGAGATAATTAACAATGTGAAACAGGAAGAAAAGGGCTAAAGGTGTAGGTAAAGTGGGAAGGGTAGGGGAAAGGGAATAAGAGAAAAGAAAAAAATATGAGAAAATGAAAAAATGGAAATAAAGTGTTTGTAAATGGGGAGGGGCGGAGGGGGTGAAGGGAGGGCAGGGACAACAGGAAAAAATGAGAACCAAGACTCATCATGTAAAGGTATAAGATCCCAATAATGAATGTAACTGTACTGTATACCTAAAATGTACCAATAAACTCAATTAAAAAGAAAGAGAACAAAAAACAAAAGAAGCACCATTTATACAATTTCTTGGAATAAAATGTGTAATACATTTTAGAAAGACTTCTATTAAAAATAGTTAAGGCTGGAAGTGCAGCTCATAATAGAGCATATGCTTATCATGCTTGAGGCCTTGAGTTCAATTCTTGGCACCAAAATAATTAATTGATTAATTAATTTTTTTTTATTGAGTTTATTGGTACATTTAGGGATACAGTACAGTTACATTCATTGTTGGGATCATGTACCTTTACATGGCAAGTCTTGATTCTCATTTTTTCCCTTACCTCTGCCCTCCCTTCACCCCCTCCTAATTAATTATTTTTTTAAAAAAACTTCTCCCTGAGTTCGATAACCAGTACCCTCCCCCCCCGCCAAAAAAAAATCCTCTGGTGCTTAAATGTTCTAGTTACTTTATCACCTCATTCACCAACAATGCCAGGCATTGTTGTAGGTATTACTGTAGTAATTTCTCCACATAAAAATATTCCTACAAAAAAGTTTTTATTTTGTTCATTTTGTTTTTGTGTTTTGAGACAGGGTATCACTATATTGTTCAGGTTGGCCTTGATCTCATGGCAATCCTCTTTCCTCAGTTTCCAGAATGCTGGGACTATAGGCATGTGCCACCATGCTCGACTAAAACTTTAAAAATTTTAAATCCATGTATGGTTTTTCTTTCAATGTAGCTTTCTGAAAGAAATTTTATTAAGGGCACAGCCCATAAACTTTAGTATTTAATGACTACAAACCAGCCAGGTGTACCTCTACAATTCCAGCTACTCAGGAGGCTAAGGCAAGAGGGTCACAAATTTGAGGCCAGTCTGGGCAACTTAATGAGATCCATCTCAAAATAAAATTTTAGAAAGGTTAAGGATGTGGCTCAGTGCTTGCCCAGCATACAAGAGGCCACTGAGTTCAATCCCTAGTACCACCAAAAGGATAATAACACCAACCATATTATATTCTCCTCCAACAGATGGCACTGTTTTCACATTTACTAAAAATAACTGGACAGGAACATTCTATTTAAGAAACTGTCTAGGGTCAGGGATTTAGCTCAGTGGTTCTGTCGCCCGCCTTGCAAGCGCAAAGTCCTGCAATCTCTGGCACCAAAGAAAAAGAAAAACAAAACAAAACTCTGAAGCTGGAGATGTGGCTGAGCGGTCCTGCACTTGTTTAGCAGGCACAAGGCCCTGGGTTTAATCTCCAGAACCACAAAAACAACATAAAGCAACAACAATAAAAAGGGTAAAGAAAAGAATGAAAGAGAGACACTCATTGAGTTGTATTATTAGACTTCTTAAAAGTAAAAAAATTACATCTTTTATGAAAGCAAGGCTACATGTTGCCCAGATTAGATTAATTAAAGGGGATAGCAACTGTCCAGCCATAGGTGAGCCTCCCATGGACTCACAGACACAGGCTGCATACTGCATTCTTTTGAAGACTGATATACTTGGTTAGTAGGATAATCACTATTTTGTTTACAGATTCTACTTTATACCCAGAGCTAGACCTAAATCTCATGTATTAAAGATATCCCTTCACTCCTATCACAACGAATTTGAGGGTTAACAGGTAAACTTAGTGTATTACTCAATTTAATCATTTAAGCAGTTCAACAGACTGACAACAAGTTGAAGGAGAAAAAAATGTTTAAATTCTTGCAGGAAATCGATCTGTTTTGGGCAAATAATAAAAGCCAGGGAAGGGCAAAATAAAAGCCAGCAGGTTGACTTCACCAGTCAACTCTTAGCCACTGTGCCAGCTGCAATGCCAACACTGTTTTCTACCCTCTCCACAACTCAGTAAAATGGAAATCATTACCACTTTATAGATGAGAAAAAGAAGACTCGGTGTGTCAAATGACATTCTACTCAGTAAATGGGTAGGACTCATACTCTAGCATATCCATTCTGTAAAGCCACTGTTCTGTCTACTTCATCATGCCACTCTTAACAAAAATAGCAACAATCAAGTTTATTATGTCCATACTATAACCCACATGATGTAGGCAATTCATAAATTCAGAGTGGAAGATTAAATCATCTCAAGTATCAAAAATGTATCACCAATTCTTGGTAATTCTGGTAATTAAGCAATCATCAAAATATTTAATAACTCATCAAAAATGTTTTTCATCAAACAAGAATTTAACTCCCTGAGAGTAAAAGGACATAATTCTCAAATTGTTTCTTTTAGTTAACAAGTGTGTTTTTTTCCAAAATAAACATGTCAGCCACTAAACAGTATGGGAAAGAACAATTCCCTGTGTGGCAGCAATGTTCCCCACTGAACACATATCCAGTACTGAACACCCAATGACTGCAGAGTGCAGAGAAGTACTTGGGAAAAAGGCATCTGCTCTTGATGCTGACATGCTCTAAGGATTTCCTACCCAATAATGAGCAAAATTTTCCTTTCTATCCGCCAGCAAACTCATATGCCTTAGTAGAGCATTTATATTCAAACTTTTGCCCACAAAGGACAAAGTCACAGTTGCAACAAAACCAACAATGAAGTACAACATTCCATCAACAAGGAGCAACTTGTGAACATCAAAGATATCAGAGACAGGAACTGTATCATAATACATAATCAGAAAGCTAAAATAAATATGGTTACTATGTGGTGAAACCAACACATTCTGGCTTTGTTGTCCATTAGTAAAGTGGCTTGGCAAAATGTTTCAGCCCAGCCAACTATCTCTCTACAAAATGAAGGCTTTCACACTTTTGAAAGCTTTTACTCCATATAAGAATTCTACCTCTTCATTCTTGTTCTGTCAAAAATGACCACAGCAAGCCAGCCATGGTGGTGCACATTTGTAATCCCACTCAGGATTACACTCGGGCAGCTGAGACAGGATTACCGTGAGTTTGAGGCCAACCTGGGCTACACAGTGAGTTCAAAGCCAGCCTGAACTACAAAGTAAGATTATGTTTCAAAAGACTGTAGGAAAAAAAAAAAAAAAAAAAAAAAAAAAAAACCCACAGCAGAGCAAAGTTAAAACAAGATCCACTTGAGATATACAAATAAATAAGGGCACAGAAAAAAAACAAAAAAACTGGCCCTTTATTTTCAACTTGAAAAGTTAATTTAGGGCAGCTCAGTAATAGGGAGAGTGCTTGTCTAACATTCACAAGGCCCTTGGTTTGGCTCCCAGCACAGCCAAAAAGTTCATTCAAACAAAACTATCACTCTGCCATGTCAGAAGTCTAGTCTGTGAAAGAGGAAACTCTGAACCCAAGAATATACTTAAAATGTTCATGGGGCCGGGGATTTACCTCAGTGGTACCGTGCCTGCCTTGCAAGCCTCAAGGTCCTGAGTTTGATCCGTGGTACCAAAAAAAAAAAAAGTTCATGGTTTTGACACTTTCCTTATATTCATGCGGGGACACAAACCTTCAGTCTTCCTAGCACAATTCTTAGAAAAGTGATAATTACTGAACAAGTAAATGTATCAACTGTTCACAAGTAAAAGGTACTTCCTCTCAAAGGCCATCTTTATATCTTTCTTCCTCAGGCCATGTTGGCACCATGAAAAGCCAAACTACCAAAGCACAAGCAATAGGTCTTCAGTCCCTCCTCTGACCCAATGACCACAAATTCTGCCATGTAGCCTCCAAACACATGGATAGCCAGGGATTTGGCTCAGTGGTGCCACCACCTGCCTTGCAAGCACAGGGTCCTGAGTTCAATCTCTGGTACAAAAAAAAAAAAAAAAAAAAAAAAAAAAAAAAAAAAACCCAAAACAAAAACACATACACATGGATAAAAAAATATTGCCTGCAGAAAAAAATATAAGATATGCTTCTTCCTACCTCTTTGGATGCCTTTATGTAACAAGCTCCAGCCATTCTTGTCTACCATGTCTACATCTGCTTTATGAGTAACCAGCGTGGTGGCAATACTCTCTAGTCGTCGTGAAAGTGCTAGATCTAATGCAAGGTCTCCGTTATGATCCACTTCGTTCAGCTTCCCTGGGAGCTGCAAAGACAGAGTTGTAAGTCGACATTGAGTAGCAGATATAACTTGTTTTAATTTCTCTCACCTTGGCCCTGGAAGTCAGATACTGCTAAATCAACTACTGAAAAATGTGGAAGTGGCTTTTGAATTGGGCAATGAACTAAGACTGGAAGAATCCTGAGCAGCAGAATACAAGCCCAGATTTCCTTGAGCAAGCTATTAATAGAAACATGTACATTAAAGATTGTGCCAGTCATGGCTCAGAAGGAACTGAAGAGCACTACAGAGAAAAACTCAAGCATTACGGTTTTAGATAAAGAAAAATAAGGACAAATACCTGTGAATCCATTTCAATCAGATAAAGGAAGACCACGTCTTCTCTTTCCACTTTGATAGCTTTATGTAATGGGTATTCTGTCTTGGATTTGATCATTTTGTATAACAATTGAGCACTCATGCTACTGAAGTCCTCCTTTCGTAAATCATCCTAGTGATTAAAAACACAGTGAAAAGGAAAACAGATAAAGTATTAACAATAACACAAACTGTCATTTATTCAGCCTTAGGCCTATGAATGTCAGGTACTACTTTAAAGGCTTAACATTTCTCAAGTAAGTCAACCCTCACAAAAACCCTACCAAGTAAGTCCTATTACCATCTTCATTTTACAGAAGACAGGAAGCACACAGAGGCTAAATAACTTGCACGTTTAGACATGACTGAATAGCTGCTGAGTTAGGACCTGGAGCCAAGAGGCCCATCTCCCGCACCTGCATGCTATGATGGCACCACTGTGCACCTCAGTAAGGCGGGACAGCCTGAGCACCACTGACATTCAATAAGAAGCACCATGTGAGAGTCCTGCCCCATGCCTACCAAGACAGCAATTACAAAATTAATCAGAACTTCCACAAACTCTCTCCCCTGAGTCACAGCTGTCTCTCCTACTGGTCTCTTTATTTTCACCTACCAACAGAGAAACGTTACCACTTCTGTTTCAATTCTCTTTTTGTTTTTTAGTGTTTTTGGTACCGGGGATCTAACATGGGACCTTGCGCTTGCAAGCCAGGTGGCAGAACCACTGAGCTAAATCCTCGGCCCTCTTTTTTTTTTTTTTTTTTTTTTAGTTTTTGAGACTAAAATGTCTCACTATGTAGCTCAGGCTGGCCTTGAACTCACTATGTAGCTCAGGATGACCACTACTTGCAATCCTCCTACCTCAGCCTTGCCAGTGCTTGGATTATAGGCGTGTGCTATTAGGTCCAGCTCCTATTTCAATTTTTAAAAGACAGTTCTTTTAGGCATCTTTTCTGAAACACTAGCACTCTTTCTACAATGTTGTTGTATACCAAACAATTCAAAAAACCTAATTTAAAAACACAGCCCTAGCCAAGTATAGTGGGGCATGCCTATGATCCCAATACTCAGGAGGCTGAGGCAGGAGGGTCGCAGAGTTCGAGGCCAGTCTGGGCTACACAGTAAGTTCAAGGCCAACCTAGGCTAAATAGTAAGAACTTGTCTCAAAATAGTCAGAAAGAAAGCAAGCAAGCAAGCCTACCCTGGTTTTTTTAAAATGTGAAACAACACAACAAAGAAATGTAAAATTGATCTGTTTAATAAAAGCTAAGTAAGAAAGGCAAATCTAAGTTTAATTGTGCCTCCATCTGAAAAAGAAAGCAAGAGAACACTGAAATGACACTGCTGAGTAACCAGGCTTGCTTGGCACACAACAGCCTCCTACTTCTACAGCGTGGTTACAGTGTCCACATAAGGAGGAAGGCAGGTAACTCCTCCTTCCAATCCTGTTTCTGAACCAGAACTACTTTCCGTCCCTCCACTCTGGAATCACAGAATCATCAGAGTTTCAGAACTGAAGAAAGTCTAACAAATTATCTAATTCAACTACATATTCTTCAATACTGTAACAAGAGAAAGCTAGGTAACAGAGAGGTGACTGCCTACAGAATTGGGTCCCATCCCTGGGTCTTCCAACTGCCCAAGAGAGGGCTTCAACTACTTCCTTCAGTCTTTCACTCACCCAGTGACTTGCAATAATTTCTGCACAGTAGTTCATCAGTGTGCTGGCATTTAGTTCCTCCGCAGTCTGATAGAAGCGAATGCAGTTCCTAACATTCACCAGAGACATAACGCCCTTCTCACATCTATAAGAGAAAATTAATAATGCAAATATTATTAAGACAAATATATTCATAAATGAATAAATCAAAGCAATAATCTTCACTGGCTTGCTGTGATACGAGGTATAAGGTTAAACTAAGTGGCTTTGAATAAATTACAGCTGAGGGTCAGGGATTTATTCAGCTCAGTGGTGTCACCGCTGGCCTTTCAAGCGCAAGGTCTTAAAAGTTCGATTCCCAGTACCCCCTCAAAAAAATTACAGCTGGGCTCCGCTCCCATATTTTAAAACTACTAGAGCTGGGGATTTAGCTCAGTGGTGCCACTACCTTCCTTGCAAGCACAAGAATCTGAGTTCAATCCATGGTACCACAAATAAATAAGCAAAACAAAACAAAACTACTATAATTCATTGACATTATTTTTTGTTAGTTTGTTTATTGTTTTGAGATACGATCTTGCTACATAGCCTAGGCTGGCCTCAAACTCATTATGTATCCCAGGCTGGCCTCCAACTCTCAATGATCCTTCTGCCTCAGCCTCTCAAGTGCTGTGATTACAGGCAGTGCCACCACACCAGACCATTATGATATTATTTTACTCAATTCTGGTAAGAATCAAATAACCTCCAGATAAACTTCTTAAGTATAAAATTTCCACTGCCTTATCCCTAGCCCAAAAGTAATCACATGAAACTTGTCAAACATATACACTGGTAATTTTAAAATCTAACAGTGATAGACTGACTTCAGCCTTTTGACATTTAATCACATGGAACACATCTCTCTTCCTACCAGCACAGCTCAAGAAATTAATGCTTCCTTAAAAGTCCTCCCAAAAGGCAAATGTGTAATGGTATATTAACTATAACTCAATATATAAAGCTGTATTTGAAAAGCCCATCCAAAATAACTATAATATACTGGGCCGGAGATGTAGCTCAGCAGCACTGTGCCTGCCTGGCAAGCTTAAAGTCATGAGTTCAATTCCCAGTACCAAAAAAAAAAAAAAAAAAAGCACGCTGATGCACAAAAACAATAAACCTCATTTTAAAAGTACAAATTAAGGGGCCAGGGATTTAGCTCAGTGGTTCCACCAACTGCTTCACAAGTGCAAGGTCCCAAGTTTGATCCTCAGTACCAAAAAAAAAAAAAAAAAACCTAAATGATCAACACTTGCTTCATATTGAACTGTATACATTTGTCAAGAGTTCTTTCACTTACTATCTCAAACATGTCATTTCTCCTCCTGACAGTAGTGAGCATTCTGACCCTTTTAAGGGCCAACACTTAAATCCATTCCTGGGTCTCTTCCATCCTAGCTCTTAAAAGCCATGACAGATAACAACTTAATACCCACATTTAACAGTTCTTGTTTGAGCAGCGGGTAATGCTGATAGTTATAAAACCTAATCAGTCAACAAACAACATTTTAATTAAAGAATCTGTTACACAATATAATTCTCTATACTACACTAACCCTAGGGCATTTTTATCAGAGCAATTTCATTTATAAGCAAGTCTGACATGGTCAATGAAAAAAAACACAGGAAATCTGAAAAAAACAATTATATAAATTATACTCAATCTAATTAAAAGCAGCGCCAGTTCACTTGTAGATGGTTCAAAAATTCACAAAATGAGCAAAAGAAGAGTTAATCACAAGGCCTCAACAGTAAAGTTAGCTTTGCTAGTAACTTTATATTATTTTGCTAATAAATATTCCACTAAAAACCTACTCTACACAACCTGGACGTTTTCTTAAAATTGTATTGAGGTATTGAAATGCTCTCCAAAGCTCACATCAATTAGGTTGTTGTATGCTGTATACAAATTCACATGGGTCACCATGGGCCACCCCAGAGGAAACAATGCTCCACTGCAAACAGCAAGCAGCTCTAGGCCACAGTCTCTCTTGGCTCTCTTGGGCAAGGCAACACAGCAACAGGCGAAGCATCTTGTGGGGGCTGGAACCAGTTCTTCACCCACCCATGAGAAAAGCCATTTGCTCATGCACCCAAGAGTAGGAAAAAAAAATCACTAAGTGATGTCAAAAGACACTCTTTATCAACCAAGCTGACTACAAGAGCCACACCTCCAACAAATACTCAAGGACATTTGCCTGACATTTCGTGTACATTTTGTATTTTATAGTCCCAAAATACCAACTTGGAACAACAGAGAAAATGCACTACAAAAAACACAGCAAGTTATCTACCCAGGACTTAAATGAATGCAGTTACTTAAATGAAGTGAGAAAAAAAAAAAGTGAGATCTTAGAAACATTGGCTATAAAACTTACCGCTTAATTTAAGTATGAACATACTTTATTAAAAGGTGAAATAAAATGTAAGGAAAAGTTGACAGTTTGAACCCTGGATTGCATTATTTCATATTCAATTTATCAGTTCACAAAGCTATGTAATCTCAGGTAACAGACAAGTGAAAGAAAAGAGAGTATCAAATATTATTGGCAAAATTTAGCTTACAAGTTACACAAAGAAAGGGAGATATCAGACTCTGTCTCCATCATCACTTTTAATTTATTTAGGGGTACTGGGGATTGAACCCAGGGTCTTGCACATGCTAGGCAAGCGCTCTACCCCTGAGCTACATCCCAGCCCACCATCACCTTTAACAAGAACACCCTGCAAAAGTTATTTACATTAGCAGAAGCAGCTGTTTTCCCAGAGCTTGGCATAATTAAAGCTCAGCCACCACCATCTGAGGTGCTTGAATATATCTGCTGTGACTTGCCTCTCCCTAAGGAGCTGTAGTTGAAACCGATTTGCTAGTTTCATCAATTCAGTCAGGAACACATCATCCTCCCTGAATTCCAATTCATCCGTATAGATCCAGCGAAGCATTGTCATTGTCACCTCAGGATTAGCATCTAGTTAAAAAAAGAAAGTAGAAAGGCTGAAAAAGCACTGGATGACATATTTGAGCCTTTGAAGAACCCCTACAATCTGAGGCTACACAAGTAAACTGTGCTATACCCAACTCAGACAATGTTCAACCATTAAAAATAGTGATGAAGCAATCTGGTCAGCAGCTGACTCCAGGAAAATGTGAAAAGTTTTGCATGGGACAGAGGGTGGGGACAATGAAACTATTTAGATTTAACTCATATCAACCAGGACCAACATTTGAAACATAATCAAAAAGTTAACTTTCTAATAAAAACACCTTGCAAATAAAAATGAAAATTTGGGCACTCAATGGAAAAGTGGAAAACAGATATAAGTAGGTAAATTCATGGAGATAACTAAAAATAGCCAATACTCATTATCAATAAATGCAATTTAAACTCAACTCATTTTTTGTCTCTCAGACTAACAGGTATTTTTACAAGTACATAATCTTTCACATAGCATTTATACAGAAATTATTATCCTAAGTAAACAACTGGGCAAGTCCAGGAGGTTGAGGCAGGAGGATTACTAATTCCAGTCCAGCCTGGGCAATTTACTAAGTGGGCAAGACCCTGTCTTAAAAGTAAAAAGATAAAGAAAGATACTCAATACAGGAGAACAAGAAAGAAAGAAAACGGGGGGGAGGGGGACAATGGGAAACACAGAAACACACATATTAATTCCTCAATGCCTTGTGTTCCATTTTTGGAACACATGGGTTTGGGTCTTTTCAAAAGCATGTTCCCTGAATTTTTCTAGGTAACATATATGAATTTCATGCAAAACAAAAAAATTGCAATCTTTGGCATAAATGAGTTAAGAAACTCAGTGAATTGTTGTTATTATTTTTTTCTTATTCTGCGGTACTGGGGATTGAACCCAGAGCCCTGTGCATGTTAGACAAGTACTCTACCACTGAGCTACATCACCACCACTTTCTTTTCTCATTTTTTCTTATTTATAGTCTCATTAAATTGCCCAGACTGGCCTTGAACTTGCAATCCTCCTACCTCACTTTCCTAAGTAGGTGGAATTACGGGGGTGTGCCATCTCACCTAGCTAGTGTAAATTTTTTTTTTTTTTTTTTTTTTTTGGTACCAGGGATCAAACTTGGGACCTTGCGGTGTGAGGCAGGCGGCAGAACCACTGAACTAAATCCCCAGCCCTGTAATTTTTAATAATAAAAAACTGGTACAAAACTCCTAAGGATCCAACAGTGAAGAACTACTACTACTACTACTACTTATTATTATTATTATTTCAGTACTGGGAATCGAACTCAGGACCTTGTGCTTACAAGGCAGGCAGCAGATGAAGAACTTATTAAAGCATTTTGTGTGTAAAATCTGCAGCAATTAAAACCATACAGATCATCAACATGAAAAGATATTTACTATGTGGCAAGTAAAAACAGGCAAAAAAATAATGTCAAACACCTTATTTTTGTATGTACATGTATGTGCAGGTGTTCAAGTGGGTATGTATGTGAATGTGTTTACATACCATAAACATTTGAGTTTTGAAGATCTATCAAGAGACTGGAAGGACATATACTAAAATATCAGCCCAGGATTACTGCATAACTAATTCTTCTTTTAGTTTCTTTACCCTAATTTTTTTTTTTTTGAGACAGGGTTTCACTATGTAGTCCAGGCTGGCCTTGAACTCATGGTGATCCTTCTGTCTCAGCCTCTGGAGGGCTAGGTACCCTGATTTTTATTTAATGAGCATGCATTACTTATGTACATTTTTGAGGGTACAATTTTAAGTGAAAGTAAAGACTGTAAAGTAACAGGGAAAGCACTTGGGTCAAAAATCATGACATAAAACATTTGAAGTCTTTGGTAGTATTAAGACAGTGATGAACAGAGGACCACTTAAAGTCATGGTCTGCACCACTGCTCTCAAAGTGTGGTCCTAGGCTAGTCCTATTCTCGGGCCTACTTCAGATCTACTGAGGGGCCCAGCATTTCTGTTTTGACAGGTGCTCTATACTATTTTAATGCTCACTAAGGTTTAAGAAACTATACTCAATTCTTGACTATCTAGGGAAAGTGCAATAAGGATCAAGAACACCTTATTAACTTAATAACCTCTGTTTAACCCCCTCTGTTGCAACTACACACAACAGGGAAGAGCGATGTGAAGGGAGTAAAGTCAAGTGAGAATTGTAGACTTCTGATTTACCTGAACCAGGTCAATTCACCATCTCCTCCTGAAACAAATGGCTATTGGGGCGGGGGGTTGAAGAGAACACACTGAAATGGCGCCAGCATGATCTTAAGGTTTATTTTTTTTCTTTTATCTTCCTCAGTAATGTAGTAAAAATGTATCTCTCCTTCCCCCATACTGGGGATTGAACCCAGACCTGTGTACTAAGTTATATCCATAGTCCTCCTGTATTATGAGGCAGGGTCTTGCTAAGTCGGTAAACAGTCAAGGCAGGACTCGATCTTGCAATCCTCCTGCCTCAGCTTCCCAGAGACAGGTGTATAACACCTTGCCCAGTCACTAGCTGTCCAAAATAAGTATTCGAAGTAGGTAAGTTAATTTCTTTCTTCTTTCTTTAGTAATACTGAATATTGAATCCAGTGGCACTTTACCACTGATCTACCTTTTGTTTACATTTTTATTTTGAGACAGGGTCTAAGTTGCCCAGGCTGGCTTTAGCCTTCTGTGTAGCTGGGATTATAGGCATTCACCACCCTACCAAGCAGTAAGGTGAATTTCTGACTTAGCTCTTTAAATTGGTTTAATACTTCAGTGACCATTTTAACAAAAAAATTCAAGAGTAGGTCATGGATTTGTCCTGAGTTGCCCCAAACAGAAAGCAAAAATTATTCCTCTCATACAACCCTATCTTGAAAAGAGCAAGGACCCAAGTTCAATCCCCGTACCAAAAAACAAAAACAAAAAAAACAAAAGAAAAATGCAAAGCTTAAGAAGTCAGTTTTCCTAATGTCCATATAAGCAAGAATTCAGTTTTGTATCCCTAATGCCAGGAAAGGAGCTTGCCACTAAAAACTTGTTATGTCAATGGAATAATTCTGAAGAAGCAGAACACTGATAAATTTATAATTTTTTTTTCGAGGCAGGGTCTCACTATGTACTTCAGGTTGTCCTTGAACACACTGTGTAGCCCAGGCTGGCTTTGAACTCATGGTGATCCTCCTGCCTCAGCCTTCAAAGTGCTGGGATTATAGGGATGCGCCATCAGACTTGGCAGTCCATAAAATGTTTTATGGCATCGCTAAGTGTGGAAAAGTTCAACCTTTAAAACAGCTTTTATGCTATTTATATACTTGTTTGCATGAGCCTATTTCCACTGTCCTTCAATTTGCTTCCAGGTATCTATCACATAACATAGGCTTCCAAGCGGTTCCAGCTGCTGCAACCCCAGATTTAGACACTCATACCTAAGCCCAGAGGAAGACTGCTGGGAAAAACACACTGCGAAACACAAATAGGGCTACATACACCACCACCTCTTCCTCATAACACACTGCAAAGAAAAACCTCTTAAAGAAAACACCCACAGGCTCTAATCTCAGCTACTGTGGTAGGTGTCTCATTTATCAAAGCCACAAAAACCATCTCCTCTGAAGTGGCTCATTCCTCAAAACAAACCTGACAGCAAGATCAATATGTGCTAATTATTTATAACAGGCAGACAGCCCAAGGACTTTGGTGTTTTGTTTTTATGGTGGGGGCGGTATTGAATCTGGGACCTTGCACATGGTAACAGGCGAGTGCTCTACCACTGAGCCATACCCTCGCTTAATAGTGACAAGCACTATTAACATTAAACTTCTCTAAACTCCTAAAAACCTGATTCACAGTTAAGCAATCTTGTGGCCAGAGAGCACTGAGTTAAAGGTGCTCTTACGTGATAAGATGTACTAAAGAAAGTTTAGTATAAAGCAAAATTTTAAAGTCAATGCTTACATGAGATTTGCTATACCTTCATGCAATTTTCTGTGTTTTTATGCAATTATTTTACACTATACATTTGTTCTTAGAACAGTTATTTTGCTTTCCTATTCTTATGTATTTTGGTTAAATATTTCAAAATTGCAAATGAAATCATAATTAACATCAGGCCGGGGATTTAGCTCAGTGGTAGAACCACCTGCCTCACAAACACAAGGACTCAAGTTTGATCCCCAACATCAATGTTGTCTGAATTATTTAAATAAGACCCCAGAAGTCTGACAATGAGGTTTAAAAAAAGTAAAAACATTTCATAGCTCTAATTACTTTATAATATTCTTAAAATGTATTTATGATACTACTGGTTATGTGCAAGAGTACTAACTTCACTGGGTTAGTGGTGCATGACTGTGATCCTAGCACTGGGGAGAGGCTGAAGCAGAAGGATAGCCATAAGTTCAAGGCCAGTCTGAACTACACAGTGAGACTCTGCCTCAAAAGAAAACAACAAAAAAAGAGTACCAATTCATGAGCCTCAGAGTTACTAGGATCATCACTCTTTGATAACAGATATTAAAAGATGGTAATTTATTCTCAGATTTTTTCTAACAAAGTTGAAAGTTTTCAACATTTTATTATTTCTTCTAATCTTTGTAAGCTATCCATGCAATCAAAATTCTGTTATACATGCCGGCGTGGTGGCACACACCTGTAATCCCAGCACTCGGGAGGCTGAGGCAGGAGGATCACTGTGAGTTCCAGACCAGCCTGGGCTACACAGCAAGTTCCAGGACAGTCTCAACTACAAAGTGAGACCCTGTCTCAAACTCCCCCCCCCACAAAAAAAGATTCTGTTATACATTTTATGAAGAACACCTCAGAATCTAATGGTTTTCTTTTTTTTTTTTTT